GGTCTTGGTCTTCTGAGCCTTGTCTTCTAGAGGCCCGTACACCGAAGATAAACCCTGCGGCCTGCGGCTTGTTGGGTGCCCCTGAATGGCATCGGTGTGTTCTTCGCGACGTGGGCTGGGTTAACGGCATGATGGGGGTGTCCGGTACATGAACGAAGCAATGCCTCCACCAGATGTCACTCCACCAGCATCTCCACCAGACGTCACGGGGTCGAGCTGTGAACGAAGGGAGCAGACTCCACGTCGAAGAATAAACTGTTTATTCAGGCCAAGCTTGGGGCCACGCAAAAGGAAAGTAAGGCACTGGCACTGATAGTGGTGAACAGAGCGTCGGCCGTCGTTCAACTGACAAGTGGCGAAGCGCGTTGGCATCTATACACTTTCATCGAACATTCCTGCATGATCGCTAGCGGCGACGTAGGTTCCAGAATGATCTGAAAGGTTCACTAAGTGGGCCTGATCTTAACAAAACAATCTACCACAGCCTCGAAGCTTCTCTAACACCGTCGGCGCAGTTTGCGCTGAACAAAGTGTAACGGGGCGATAATAAAACTCCAGAGAAGGAACGTGGCATTATAGAAACGTTTAGTATTTTGATCATGCCCTGAAAAGAATACATTGCTGCGGACCACATCAGCGCCTACATTCTGGCAAGAAGCAATCTTTTGCAGTACTTACGTCCCTGAAGGCTCAGTCATAATTGGTTGTGGTCACGCGTTTCACATAATCTTTTTACCGCCATGAAATCTCGCTGAAGAATGATGCTTTCTTTTGTTTGTTCGACATTTTACAGTGGCGCGAACTGGTAGTGTGAAAAAAGAGAAAACTGTCTAACTATAGAACATGCGGCAGACGCGTTGGCTGTTTCACTGCATGCGGCCTCTGAGCAAATTGAAATTCGAACTCCAGGAGGTTTGTCCTTATGCTAAAGCTTCCTTCTCGCCTCTGTCAGTCACCCACTTTTTAAAGACGAGCGTCTTTTTTAGCATATTTCATCACATACATATGTCATCTTTCTAAAAGGACAATGTTTCAACTAATTTTATGTACACCAATGTTTGTTTTTAACAACGTGTTTGTTGAATATGTATGTTTCTTACAGACTTTTTTTGCTTTTCCTCCTATTGCTTTGGTTTGTGTATTGATATTCTACTACTGCAACAAATAAGAATTCTGAATAATATTTGCTGCTGTTGTTATTGTTCTGGGAGGTGGGTGTAGTCAAGTTGCCTACATGCAGCGTTTATCCCACTATCCTTGTTGTTTAAACATGTTTTGATCTATTTGGCAATAAAGTTTACTTCACTTTACAATAGTTTTGGTCTGGATGTCGTTCGACTTGTTTTTGTGTCACCAGTATTGTATAAAATACAACCTCATCCGTAGCGACAACTAATATTGATCTGGCTTGAGCATTCATACTTTTGCGTATTGTCGACTAAAAGGAAATATTGTGGGTATCTGTAGCACAACCTCAACACGTCAATATCTGTGGCGTTTTTATTTATACTCTAAAAGGCATACAAAAGTAATTCCACGAAACACAGCATTTATTACCTTACGCTGACGCTATGCACAAAAAAGCAGGTATTTCCTGCGCTTTTCACGATACGGTGGTGGCGCCAACTAGTCGCATTGAATCCTACAAATTATAGCCTCATAAAGCGTTCTCTCTACAATGGAGGTCATTATGTCGTTTTTGAAGCCAGATGGCACTCATTTCTCACGCAGCGCCTCCAGAATACCACTCGTGGATATTCCGGTGATGAATATCAAATAAACGTATTATGTACTTCCTCTATACTTAAGACTATCGTTTTTCGACGACATTTGCAGTAAAACCTGCAAATATGAGTCCTTTTTTTGTACGTGCTACAAGTGTGGCGGTGTTCAAGAAACGCCACATTGGCGCCTTGCCTTTCCATCACCGTTTAGATCAGGACGTGGCAGGTGTGTGTTTTTTTAGTAACAGTGTGATCAGTGCACTAAACTGAACCGCAACTATAGGTCCGTTGGGTTCGCCATGCGCAACCTGATTGATTTCAGCGAGGTGCGGCGTTCGTTTCTGCGAAACTCGCAGCTCCGAAACTCGTCATCCGTCCAATCAGGAGACGTGCAGCGCTGGTTTACGATTCTACTGCACCACCTGCAGTGACGGTGCCGGCCTGCTAAAGTCGTGCGCTGTGCGCACTAGTAGCTGAGCAGACGAGGCAGCGACCAGGCGCAGACTACGTACACACGTCTAATGAGGTGTCGTATTTGCCAAAGTGCTTGCACTTCATGAACTACCCAGATGTTTAATTGCCACCTGTCAATGTTAGGTTGACGGGGAAAATTAGGCGACCTACAATGAGGCCACATTTGTTTATGGTGTCGTGCTGTGCCTTCAACAGTGAACTGGCACTGCTAAATTTTTAAAATTTTCGTACACTGCCGTAAACTGGCTCCACTTGGCACAGATAAATCGAACGAACACAGTGGTTTTAGGTGCATCAATTTATGCTTCGCAGGACGCTTTGAGTTCTGCCAGAGCCAGTAATGCACCTAGTAGTAGGCGAGAGAACTGCAGGCACAAAATCTCCCGAAATTCCAATTTAAGGACCGTCGTTTTTTTCCTTTTTCATGTCGGTTTTCCTATGCTGAATGAGTTTCGGCTGAATGCCTTTATCAGTGTTACTGTTGCTCAACATATCTGCTTATTTCTCAAACCACACACTGCGTGAAGAAAAAAGATACATCAACAATTACAAATAACTCTTATGGGAGTGTTAAGCACAACTGATGAGGTGTTTTTCTTTTGGGATGCCTTGAGCCAAGGAACTTCTAAATGTGCAGTTCTATACCACGCTTCGAGTCGCGTCGCTGGTGAGGACTATTTCGCGCCAACCAACTCATATGAATCGAAGCAGACGGAGCACAGTGTGACTGTGGCGCTAAGCGGCAGACCACGGAAGGTAACGCGCGTTCCACAACAGCTTTTGTTGACTTTATTTGAATGTGTCGCACGGGATCTTTTAATCGCGATCAGTATTGATCTGGATTTACTGATCCAGATTAGGTGATGCTACACGGTCACTTTTAAATATGATCAGTGGTGGTCGGGATCAAGACAATCGCGATTCGCGCATCGCGATCTGCCTGAGAGATCGCGATTTTGCTGTCGTCTACACCCCCTAGCGGAGCTTGTTGAAAGCGCAATGAATAAATAAAATTGAGCATAGTTTCATAAAAACACCTAAAAACAGCTTAATGATTATTAAATGGCAAATGCTAAACTGTCTAAATTGAAACAGTATTTGAAGTATTGCATAATATAGGATTTCTATTGACCGGGTGTAGTTAAGGGAGAAGCAAACGACAAGCAGACGTACAAGCAGCCGATCGTTGCCTTCAGCGGTTAGTTCAACTCTCACCCTGACGGGGCTGTTGGAGCACCTCGAAGTAAACTGATTCTGAGTGTCACAAGCCTTTCGACTACGTCGCCACATACACGTACTTCAAGGTCGAATCAAGAGACCTCTCCAGTATTTGACCACTGGCAGGAGTGACTGCAACAGACTTAAGACGCCAAAAGTGAAACACTGGCGCGTACTACAAAATTGACGCTTCGCTGCGACTACACGGCAACGAGCGGCGGCCATCAAAAAAAAAAGCGAAGGCTGAAAATTTCACACAGCAAGACAGGTAAGTGCTAGGAAAATTTCATCGAATGATGGATTTACAAAATTACTATTGTAGAGGCATGAAAAATTTTTGAAGTGCGATCGGTTCTTGCACGCACAACTTTGTGATAAAGGTCTCTATAGAAATTCCGCACGCTAAATTTGTCAGTGGCATGTTTTACAGCACACCTGGAGCATTTCATCTGACCCAAGCTCGAACCGGATTAGCTTGGGTCATGTAGCAGTGGTCATAAAGTTGATCGCGATCAAGAAAACTGATTTGGATCGCCTCGATTGCAATTAGAAGTGCCCGTGTGACACCGGTATTAGTGATCAGGCCATCGGAGAGCGGCACGCACTACTGTGGCGCTGCCGCCGCGGAACTGGTCGTCTCGGCGCTGTCGTTCCCACCTACGCGCGCCATATCACTGTCTTTCATCCGCCGCTGCACTCCCATTCCGCATTTTGTCGTCCTTGCTCACTCTGTGGCTTACGACGACGCCGCTCAAAGCAGAAAGGTTCCATTACAGCGGCGCTCCGGAAGAACGGATGCTCGTTTTATGTTGGCCTAACCCCAACTATGTTTGAAGTTTTGGCGAACCACACTTGTATCAATGTAACATTCGTTAAATATTGCCACAGAAACTCGACGCGCTCGAGTGCCACGCCCAACATTATATGCACTGCAGGCGTCAGGCGTCAAGTGCAACAGCGACAGCATTGCTACTATAAGCGAGGCCAGTCGCAGTGCACCTGTCAGCCCTGCATGTACTGCACGAACGGCAACCGGCATGTGGCGAACGCGAGCTTAGAGGTTCGTCATATCGGTTGGCTCGCCGAATTTCCCCCTCTTTCACTCGATCAGCTACAATGACGGCGACGTTTTAGAAACGGACGTCTGAGAGCTATGCTTTAAAAATACTTTCTATCAGTCTCATAGGAGCTAGTTATAACCACTCAAGTAATATTAGGGACAATAGGACCATCACGGCCTCACCAACAGATGTACTCAGAATGTTAGGTTTCTATGGGTGGACCTCATTGAAGCTGCATATGCAGAGAGTTTAGGTGGCACCCGGTTCCTTGAACCATTCCAATGCTTCAGCAATTCAATAGCAGAGGTGGCTTTGTTGATAATAATGCTTAGCGACCTTCCAAGATACACAGTTGTGCAAATGCTTTTCATGCAATAACGTCGTTATTTGAGCATAATGATTCCATTTGTACACTGAAAACAGTGCCAAAAGACACATGCATGCACGTACAGCGGAATGAGGTGTTCCAAGAGCAAACTAGTAACCTGGCTCCTGCCTCCCATATTGCAAATGCAAGACTCACTTAGCGTCAGGGTCGTATTCCGACCACAGCCGAACAAACTCATCCAAGTGGTGAGGTCCCAGGATCGACCAATCGCGGGTGAGGTAGTCGAAGTTATCCATAATGACCGCAACAAAAAGGTTGATGATCTGCAGGCAGGAAACAAGAAGAAAATGAAAATTGCGCCAATAAGTATTTGTTTCAACATGTACTCTTTCAAGTGCACAACATATCAATCGAAAAAAAATACAAGCCCCGGCAAGCTCCCTTTACGAGAACTTTTTACTAATATATAAACATCAATTGTTAATGGCACTAAGTTATAGAAAGTAATTTTAAGTTTTACATTCATGATTTTTCTTCATAGATGGCTATTTTCTCATTAAAATTACCCATCGCCTTTGATTATACTATTCAATACTTGTTTTACTGCTTTCATCCAAAATTATCAACAAGAAAAGAACTTGTCACATAAGGTAGGAAAGAGATGGCGCTACGATCAACGCGGAGTGCTGGCGTGTTCGCGTTGGATCCGCTTTTCTCGAATGTTTTCGTAGTTTCGTCTGTGACAAGCTACTAAAACATTTCACCAAACGATTTGTGAAGTTCTACGGACTCTCGGGACATCTCGTTTGCAGGCGGGATTTTTCAGTGATCAGAGAACCACTTCCTACTGCACACCCACCACGGCCCTTCCGAGATAAGCCTACGCCTGCTCGCCGGTCATCTTGCCTACGACTTCGCCGGCCGTTCGTCGGCGCGTGTCGTCTGCATCTCTCACCAGAGTGAGTCTGCACCTTAGTCTTCACTATGAAGATCCAGGTTGCCGGCCAGGATATTTCACCGAAAGACGTGACCACCGAGTCTGGCTGGTTCACTGCTCGATCGCACCGCCCACCACGCGGCACTGACAACTCGACCCCAACCGATGAATCATTTCAAGCCCCAAGTAACAAGCCTGGTCTTAGGCAAGAAAGCGTGTGAAAGCTCAAGTTTAAAGGCGGGCCGCATGCCACCGCTTCCAACGCAGGACATCAAGATTGTTATTAACCCCGAGAGTGCCCTTCTTCTATTAACCCCGATAGCTAAGATATGCAGTCCAGTGGTGAGTGCAGCCATATTTGAAGAAGCCGAACTCACCGATAACGAAAACATGAAAGATACCATCTGCCCTATTCATACAACAAAACATTGTTGTCATCAGCACTCCTGACACGGACCATGCAGACCGGTTTGTCCGCATTCGTTCCATTCAAGTGAACGGCGTCACCCACGACGTGAATGCCTACGAAACCACAGTTGAACACAACACCAAGGGAGTCATCGGGGAAGCCCAGTCACGGAGACCCTCCAGCAGATCCACAACAATATCGTGACTGCTCAAATCCCGACGGCCCTGGCAGCCAAGCGCATCGCCTCAACTACAACGATGGTTACCGTTTTTGACGGCCAGGACGTGAATTACACGGCATCGATTCTTGTCCCGACAAAACGAACCAGATTTGCCGAGGCTGCGCCCCCCCCCCGCCCCCCGTCGATTACAACTGTGACCCTAGGTACTCTCTCTGCATCGGCCCTCATCTAACTGCCGAAAAAAGCTGTCCTGCTTGTTATGAAACCCTGTACGTTATTCTCAAGTGCATTGGGGAACGACGGGCAAATAGCCGTGCTATCTACGAAGACGCCGGTCTCTCCACCCTAGACACCAAAGCCAGATCCCGTTCCCGCAACCAGGACAACGAAAGACAAACGCCCTTCAGAACATCACGGTCCCGGCAACAACGCTCAAGATCCCGGTCCGCATCAGGATCAGGCAACAAATCTACCAACAATAACAAAGTGAACTTCGCAGAGACCCTCAAGGGCACCTCGCCAAAGGGCCCTAACACAATCAACGCACAAGCTACCGCCCCTGATCCTTCGCAAGACAACCCAGAAAGAGCTCAACTCAAACGCGAGAACTCGAACGTACGCGATCTCTTAACTAAACTCACACAGGAAAAGCCCTCAAGCAAACTCGGACGCCAACCGCCACACCTACCGCTCAGAACACCCCCACCCATAGTCAGCAAGCCTCTGACTCCTGTCCCCAAAAGGAGAGCTCTGCAAAGTGGAGCCACGGGTTAAGTCCTTTCTGAGGTTAAGGACTTGCTCATCGCGCTCCAAACGACTATAAGTACTTTTCAACAGGCGCTCGACACCATATAGCACGCTTTCGCGGGCATTGTTCACCGAGTGATGAACTTAGAAAATAATATTCCTACGCCTTCTAGCAAAGCTTCGCCCATCTGCGACCATTCTGGGACTCTGATGACGACATCACCCGTTTCCTACCATGGCCCGCACTAACCAAGGCACCCTTGTTTGGCAGTGGAACTGCAGAGGATTTCACCAGAAACAATCGGTCCTTAGCCAGTACCTACGTCAACATACCCGCTGCCTTAATGACATTCTACTCCAAGAAACGAACAACACTCCTACCGCACTCCCCGCTTATCAAATATTCCACACAGCTTACCCACGTCGCCAGGTTTCCACCCTACTCAGCGTCGCATAGCCAGCGTTGAACATAATCTCCGTAAGCCTCAAATCTAACACCTCATTCTCGAAAAAAAATTTCAACCATAAAATGAAAGACTTTTTCTTCTAAACGTTTACAATTCAAGAAGGCCCTCCATGTTGCTGGAACACACTCTTTTCTTATCGGTGGTGACTTTAACCTTGATCATACTGCTTTAGGCTACATTCGTACGGAAGGTGCAGCTCGCAATCTCTGGCAAGATTACCATGACTTAGGCCCCACGCTTATCACAGACTCGTATTTTCCCACATGCCTTGGGACCTGCACTACCCGGGACTCTACTCCACACCTCACGTTTACCTACCATGTCAGCAATGAACTCTGGACTAACACGCAACAGGACCTAGGGAGTGACCATTACCTCATCGCTATCTCTTTACCTCATCTCGTTGCTGACCCTGCCCCCACCAAAGAGTTCATTATCACCGACCGGGAAAAAATTCGTAAAATACGTAGTGGTGTCACCTCAGCAGAGCACATCGCTGATATTGACACCTAGACGCAAACGCTACGCACTGACGTTCAGACGACCACTCGGGTGGTAACCAAGGATGCCCCGGTTGAATGCATGGATAGCCGCCTAGCCCACATTTCGGAGGCTAAGGCCTCTATCGTAGTTCGGTGGAAGGGGCAGCGCCACAACCGTCGCCTCAGATGCAAGATCTCTAAACTCAATACGACCAATGAAGAGCACTGTCAAACGCACAGCCGGCAACAATAGGACTCAGTGGTGTAAAACGTTGCACGGGCAACTTCACCGCCCATCCTCGTGTAAACTCTATAAATATCTACTCGACACAACCAACACCCGCACTTCCCAACAGGATGGGCTGCAGAAACTTTTTTATATGGAGATCCTTAAGCAAGGCCAGCAAATTGTGCTTGACTATCTGTGCACCAGGTATATTTCCAAGGGACAAGTCAGTCCACAGAGCAATTACGTCCGTAATCGCAACCCAACACTATACGCAGAAATTAGGAAATCTGAAATACATGCTGCCCTCTGTAAGCTTAACGGTCGCTCTGCTCCAGGCTCGGGCGGAGTCAAGTCAAAACCCTTCGCGATCTCGATGAGGAATCCGTGTTCCATATGCCTGACTATAATAACAATTTCTGGTGCAATGGCTCTCTTCTGCCTGCCTGGAAAACTGCGAAAGTCATTTTAATTCCACAGCCCGGCAAACAATCTAGCCTCAACAACCTAAGACCAATTTCCCTAACTTCATGCGTGGTTAAAAGGTTATGAAACATGCCTTTCTGGCACGTGTCAACACTTACTTCGAAAACACCTGTATCTACACCAACACCTTCTTTGGAGTTCGACCTTACCTGTCAGCACAAGGCGTTTGCTGCAACTTAAGCACCGGGTTTTAAACGACCGTTCCCTTAACCCGAAAGCTATTCTCAGACTCGACCTTAGTCAAGCTTTTGACAACATTTCCCATTCTACTATTCTTGAACAAGTTGGCCTCCTCCACCTGTGAAAGAGAGCCCACAACTGCACCCGTGTCTTCCTCTCAAACCGCGTGGCCACCTTTTCGGTCGGAGACTTACGAGCAGCCATGATTCCTCTTGGCCGTGCAGGCACCCCGCAAAGGTAAGTCTTTTCTCTGGTGCTCTTTAACTTAGTCATGCTTGAACTTGCACAGCATATAAAACAAGTCGACAATATCCTCTGTACTATCTACGCTGACGACATCACCATCTGGGCGTGCCAAGGTAGCGATGGTCAAGTGGAGACAGCCCTGCAGACAGCGATTGACACAGCTGAGGCCTATCTCCAAAGAACCGGACTGCGCTGTTCACCGGCTGAATCCGAGCTGCTTCTTTACAAGCCCATTCAGTGGGGATGCCCCCCCCCCAGACAGCTACATTAGCAATAACCCTGTGACACCATCACGCTTCACCTCCAAGATGGTAGCCCTATCCCGCACGTCCCTAGTATCTGGGTCCTCGGTCTCACTATATCAGCCAATAGCTCTGATGGCTTGGCTCTCAGCAAGATCTCTGCTCAATCTCACAACACCTTACGCCTTCTCAAACGTATATCTAACCCAAAAAGTGGTATCAAAGAAGAGAGCCTTCTCCGCCTCTTGCAGTCTTTTGTGTTGTGTCATATCACATACATTGCTGCTTATCTGAACTGGTACCGCGCAGAACAAAAAGAAGTCGATACCCTCATACGAGGGGTCTACAAGCAAGCACTTGGCCTCCCGCACTACACCAGCACTGAACGTTTAAATCAACTGTGAGTTGACAACACCCTTGCAGAGCTAAACGAAGCCCAACAACGCAGTCATCTTGAACGGCTCACACTCAGTGAAACGGGACGTTCTATTCTCTCCACGCCTGGATTAACGTATCATCAGCAACAAGGCGCCAAACAATCAATTCCGCACAAGGTCCGCAGCTGGATCCACGCTGATCCCATACCCAGAAACATGAATTATGCGAACAACAAAGCCCGGCGCCAAGCTCGCGCTAGAGCCATCACAAAAGCCCTTGCCCACGCACCTGGCGCCACATTTTTGGACGCACCTCAGTATCCTCAAGGCACACATTTCGTAG